AATTTCAATTTTTAATTAATTATTTATTATTCATTTTTTATTATTTGATATATTTTCTTCATTTTTTTCTATTAAAACTTACACTTAATAAAAGCAGTTTATTTGTTTTGCATTGTAGTATTTTTAATTATAAAAGTTAATTTAAAACATTTAAGCTCTTTTAATTTATTTGACTTGTTTTCCTTTTTCTTTTTATTATGATTTCTTATTTTTTGATTCTTTGTTAATTCTATTTATTATTGATTAATTAATCTTATTATTTCATATTATTTTTTCATTTTTTCCTCCTAATTAAGTATAGTGAAATGCCTATTTTATTTAAAAAAGGCGAAATGGAATATATCTTAATAACATAATTAATAAAGCTAAATTAGCTTAAAATAGCTTTATTTTTTAGTTTTTAGAAAGCTTTAAATTCAGAAAATGTAAAACTTGAAATTATAAATACCATATATTCTTAAAACATATCATTTTTTTTGAAAAAAATAAATTTTGAAAACCTAGGATGGAAAAAAATTAATGCAAAATATTTAAAATTTTAATTTTATAAAATATAAAACTGGTATATAAAACTCGCTTTTTGTAAATTTGTATGACAGCTTACTTTACTTAATGATTTTTTTTTCTTCAATATTAAAAAAGTGGGGATTATATTTGTTCACTGGGAGCATTAGGCTTAGGCTCTGCTTTAGAAAATTGCATTAATCTCTCAAATTTGACACTTGAACTTGAGTAAAAACAGTTTATTTGTTTTGGATTGTGATATTTTTAATTATAAAAACTAATTAAAAACAATAAAGAACATTTTTCTTTTTCTTTTTATAGTGCTTGCTTTATTTTTGTTCTTTCTTTATTAATTAACCTCATCATTTATTTTTAACTTTTGCTTTTATTATTAATTAATTAATCTTATTATTTCATATTTTTTCCTTCTAATTAACTATTTAATGAAATATTTTATCTTCAATATTTAAAAAGTGAAAATTAAATTGGTGCAAAGGGCGCATCAGGTTTAGGTCTTGCTTTAGCAAAGTGTATTAATCTCTCAAATTTGACACTTAATCTTGGGTAAAAACAGTTTATTTATTTTGGATTGTGATATTTTTAATTATAAAAACTAATTAAAAACAATAAAGAACATTTTTCTTTTTCTTTTTATTGTACTTGCTTTATTTTTTGTTCTTTCTTAGTTAACTAAGCTCATCATTTTATTTTCAACTTTTGCTTTTATTATTAATTAATTAATATTATTATTTCATATTTTTTCTTCATTTTTTCCTTCTAATTAACTATTTAATGACATATTTTATCTTCAATATTTAAAAAGTGTAAATTAAATTGGTGATGAAGGTGCATCAGGCTTAGGTTCTGCTTTAGCAAATTGCATTAATCTCTCGAATTTGACACTTGACCTTCAGTAAAAACAGTTTATTTATTTTGGATTGTGATATTTTTAATTATAAAAACTAATTAAAAACAATAAAGAACATTTTTCTTTTTCTTTTTATTGTGCTTGCTTTATTTTTTGTTCTTTCTTTGTTAACTAAGTTCATCATTTTATTTTCAACTTTTGCTTTTATTATTAATTAATTAATCTTATTATTTCATATTTTTTCTTCATTTTTCCTTCTAGATAACTATTTAATGATATACTTTTTCTTCAATATTTAAAAAGGGATAATGAAATTGGTGACGAAGGTGCATCAGGCTTAGGTTCTGGTTTAGCAAAGTGCATTAATCTCTCAAATTTGACACTTATCCTTTGGTAAAAACAGTTTATTTGTTTTGGATTGTGATATTTTTAATTATAAAAACTAATTAAAATCAATAAAGATCCTTTTTCTTTTTATTGTGCTTGCTTTATTTTTTGTTCTTTCTTTGTTAACTAAGCTCATCATTTTATTTTCAACTTTTGCTTTTATTATTAATTAATTAATCTTATTATTTCATATTTTTTCTTCATTTTTCCTTCTAATTAACTTTTTAATGATATATTTTTTCTTCAATATTTAAAAAGGGATAATTAAATTGGTGACTGAATTGAATTGAATTGAAATACTCGCACATAGATATGCACTCAGAATACATCTTATTTTAAATATATTTGTAATAGTTTACATTATTATTTTTGTTTTTTTCTTTTTAGTGTTTATAATGTATATAAACACATTCATTTTTATAATTATTAAGGAAAAGCCTATTAGTGAGGTGGTTTGACCTCTCACTAATAAGGCAAAATGTGTTCAGGTTAAATTGGTGACAAAGGTGCATCAGGCTTAGGTTCTGGTTTAGCAAAGTGCATTAATCTGTCAAATTTGACACTTAGCCTTGGGTAAAAACAGTTTATTTGTTTTGGATTGTGATATTTTTAATTATAAAAACTAATTAAAAATAATAAAGCTCTTTTTTCTTTTTCTTTTTATTGTGCTTGCTTTATTTTTTGTTCTTTCTTTGTTAACTAAGCTCATCATTTTATTTTCAACTTTTTCTTTCATTATTAATTTATTTATCTTATTATTTCATATTTTTTCTTCATTTTTTACTTCTAATTAACTATTTAATGATATATTTTTTCTTCTATATTTAAAAAGTGGTAATTAAATTGGTGATGAAGGTGCTTCAGGCTTAGGTTCTGCTTTAGCAAATTGCGTTATTCTCTCAAATTTGACACTTGAACTTGAGTAAAAACAGTTTATTTGTTTTGGATTGTGATATTATTAATTATAAAAACTAATTAAAAACAATAAAGCTCTTTTTTCTTTTTCTTTTTATAGTGCTTGCTTTATTTTTGTTCTTTCTTTATTAATTAACCTAATCATTTATTTTCAACTTTTGCTTTTATTATTAATTAATTAATCTTATTATTTCATATTTTTTCTTCATTTTTTCCTTCTAATTAACTATTTAATGGTATATTTTTTCTTCAATATTTAAATAGTGGTAATTAAATTGGTGATGAAGGTGCTTCAGTCTTAGGTTTTGCTTTAGCAAAGTGTATTAATCTCTCAAATTTGACACTTAATCTTGGGTAAAAACAGTTTGTTTGTTTTGGATTGTGATATTTTAAATTATAAAAACTAATTAAAAATAATAAAGATCTTTTTTCTTTTTCTTTTTATTGTGCTTGCTTTTTTTTTGTTCTTCCTTTGTTAATAAAGCTCATCATTTTATTTTAAACTATTTGCTTTTATTATTAATTAATTAATCTTATTATTTCATATTTTTTCTTCATTTTTCCTTCTAATTAACTATTTAATGATATATTTTAAAAAGTTAGAATTAAATTGGTGCAAAGGGTGCATCAGACTTAGGTTCAGGTTTAGCAAAGTGCATTAATCTCTCAAATTTGACACTTCATCTTAAGTAAAAACAGTTTATTTCTTTTGGATTGTGATATTTTTAATTATAAAAACTAATTAAAATCAATAAAGATTCTTTTTCTTTTTATTGTGCTTGCTTTATTTTTTGTTCTTTCTTTGTTAATTAAGCTCATCATTTTATTTTCAACTTTTTCTTTTATTATTAATTAATTAATCTTATTATTTCATATTTTCTCTTCATTTTTTCCTTCTAGATAACTATTTAATGATATACTTTTTCTTCAATATTTAAAAAGGGATAATGAAATTGATGCAAAGGGTACATCAGGCTTAGGTTCTGCTTTAGCAAAGTGTATTAATCTCTCAAATTTGACACTTAATCTTAGGTAAAAACAGTTTATTTGTTTTGGATTTTGATATTTTTAATAATAAAAACTAATTAAAAACAATAAAGATCTTTTTTCTTTTTCTTTTTATTGTGCTTGCTTTATTTTTGCTCTTTCTTTGTTAATTAAGCTCATCATTTTATTTTCAACTTTTGATTTTATTATTAATTAATTAATCTTATTATTTCATATTTTTTCTTAATTTTTTCCTTCTAATTAACTTTTAAATGATATATTTTTTCTTCAATATTTAAAAAGGTTAAATTAATTTGATGCAAAGGGTGCATCAGGCTTAGGTTCTGCTTTAGCAAAGTGCATTAATCTGTCAAATTTGACACTTGAACTTGAGTAAAAACAGTTTATTTGTTTTGGATTGTGATATTTTAAACTATAAAAATGAAAATAAAACAAAAAAGTTCTTTGAATTTATTTGATTTATTATTTTATCTTTTTTATTGCACTAATATTTTTATCTTTATTAATTTAAAGAATAATTTTTAATTTGAAAGTTTATTCTATTTTGATATTTATTTAAAATTTACACAAATTTATTATAAAATTTTTAGCTCAATGAATAAATTCAAAGTAATAAGCAAGTGTCTTAAATTAAAAAGATTAGTTGCCTTTAAGATATGCAGCTGGTGAAAAAAGGATGAATAAATATAAAATGTTTGAACAATATTATATATATATATTTTATTATATAATATTTTGAAAAAGTGTTTTTAACCTAAAATAAAAATAGATTTAATTATTGATTTTATATTTATAAATATCATTCATATTTTTGTAAGTAAATGAATTATTTATTATAAATAAAAAAATTTAAAAATTAAATTTACTTAAATAAATTAAATCCTCTTAAGCAAACAATCCTACGAATTCTCCAAAAAAAATCAAATAATTTGAAAGTTTTAGTTTTATATTACCGTATTTTCACGATAAGACAGCCGACCGAGAAACCGAGGACTTAAAAAATTTTCAATTTTTTAAAAAATTTAAATTATGTCTTAAGAAAATTTAAAATGATTAATTTATGTGAGGTTTTATGTTATGTATTTTTAGCATGAAATATTGAATTTAAATTTTTGTTTATTAAACTTGCAAATTAGTTAAATTAATAAAAAAAGTTTTATAAAAACACTATTTCGAGAAAAATAAATCAATTAAAAAGCTATTAAATAAATTATATTGCCTTAAATTTATTTTTTATATTTAAAAAAATATCACAATCAAAAAAAATTTAATTTTTTTTACTAAAGATTAAGTGTCAAATTTTTGTGCACTCAAATTATTTCTAATTTAATTTTTTAAGAATGGTATTTAAAAATCTTTTTGTTAGAAAAATTAAAAAATATGTTAAAATATAGAATTTTAAAGAACAAGATTAAATTCAAAATACAAATTAATAAATATTTATTTATTTATAGAGTAATTTTTTACAAATTTATAAGTAAATTAAGAAATAGTAAAAAGCTAGGTGCTTATGATTTTTTATTGTTAATTAATTGAATTTTACTTTAAAATAATTTAGAAATTAAATCAATTTTTTTGCAGTTATAACTAAATTTATTCAGAAAGAATTAAATATTTAGCAATAATAAGAAATTAATTTTATTTTAATTAATCTTTGGAAAAATTAAAATAATTATCATTTATAGATCAGCTTAGATTTTTAAATAGGTATTTAAAAAATTTATTATAAAAAATATTTTAATTGATCTCTGTCAAAAAAATTATCTTTTATAGCTCTACTTAGAAATTAAATGCTAAATTTATATTTAATATATTTTTAGGGAAAATTTACTTGGCTAAGAGGGAGCAAACATTATTAGTATGTGCTTAAGAACATTTTTATCGATTAATTGTTTATATCTTGATTAAAGGTAATTTACTATAAAACAAATCAAATTAAAGTAAAAGATAAAAATATGCGAAAATAAAAAATTTAATTTAAAAAAATTATTTTTTTTATTTATTAATTTATAATATAGATGTAATTAGATTAATGCAAGAATTGAGAATCTAATATCAAATTTTAAAAAAATGAAAAGATTATATTGCATCAAAATAGAATTTTGAAAAAAAGAGTAGAGCAATTATATAAAGACAATATAATAATCAAGATTTTAAACTTTTATGGATATAGAAAAACAATTATTTAATTTAAATATTTGCTTTAGATAAACAAATAAAAATAATTAAATAAATAAATTTATTTTAATTACCTTAAAAATAATTATTCTGCTTTATGATTTTTTAATTTGAATATTTAAGTAATTTCATTTATAAATACAAAAAAATAATAAATCTATCTATCTATCTATGTTTTAGGTTATTTATTCAATTACAAAATATTAAAAAATAAAAACATATTATATTAAAGTATTCAATATATTTTTATTTATTTTTCCTATTTCACCACTTTTTTATCACCAATAATATATTCTTAAGTTAACTAATCTTTTTAACTTGAGACACTTTTCATTCAATTATTTTGATTTATTAATTTTTGTTCTATTTTTAATATAAATTACTGTAAATTACTAAAAAAAAATAAATAGAATATAATTTTATATTTTAATTAGATAAATAAAAGTTTAGAACAATAAAAAATTATTGTGAAATCAAATAAATAAATTATAAGAACAGTTGTATTGTTTTATATTCAAAAATATCACTATTCAAAATAAATAAACTATTTTTACCCAAGATAAAGTGTCAAATTTGAGAGATTAGTGATCTTTCCTAAACTAGAGCCTAAGCTAGATAAATCTTTATCTTCTATTTAATTTTACCTTTTTAAATATTGAAAAAAAAATAAATAGTTAATTAGTTAGTTATTTAGTTAGATGGAAAAAATTAATTAAATTAATAAAAAGTTTCAGCAAAATGAAAAAAAGAAAAATAAATCAAATAAACTATTAAATAAATGAAAAGTTGGTTAAATTGTATTTTCATTTTTATATTAAAAATATTAAATTCCAAAACAAATAAACTGCTTTTACGAAAGATTAAGTGTCAAATTTGAGAGATGAGTGCACTCTCCTAAACCAAAAATTAAGCCTAAAGCCCCTTCACTGCCAATTTTGTTTTCACTTTTTAAATATAGAAGAAAAATATTTAGTTGAAATAATAAGAAATTAATTAATCATTTAATAATAAAACAAAAGTTGAAAATGAAAAAATGTGTTAAATTAATAAACATACAAATAAATAAATAAAATACAAGCAGAATAAAAAAGAAAAATAAATCAAATAAAAATCTAATAAATAAATTAAAAGAGTTAATTAATTATATTGTTTTCAATTAATTTCAAAAATATCATAATCAAAAACAGATAGATTGTTTTTACATTAGATGAAGTGTCAAACTTGAGAGATTAGTGCACTTTCCTAAAACAGAACCTAAGCTTAAGGCCCCTTCTCCACCAATTAAATTCCACCTTTTTATACATTGAAGAAAAAATATATACTTATTAAGTAAGTTATAAGGAAAAAATGAAGAAAAAAAATGAAATAATAAAAAATTAATTAATTAATAATAAAAGAAAAGTTAAAAATGTGTTAAATTAACAAACAAATAAATAAATAAATAAAAATATAAGCAGAATAAAAAAAGAAAAATAAATCAAATAAAAAGCTAATAAATAAATTCAATGTTAGTTATATTCGTTATTATTTTCAAATATATCATAATCCAAAACAAATAAGTTGTTTTTACGAAAGATCAAGTGCTAAATTTGAGAGATTAGTGCAATTTCCTAAACCAGAAACTAAGCCTGATGCTCCAATTGCACCAATTTTATTCCATCTTTTTAAATATTTAAAAAAATATATAGGTTTATTGGTTAGTTAGAAGGAAAAAATGAAGAAAAAATATGAAATAATAATAAATTATTAAATAATAATAAAATCAAAAGTTGAAAATGAAAAAATAAATTAAATTAATAATAAAACAAATAAATAAATGTATAAACACAATCACAAAAAAAGAAAATTAAATTCTAATCAAATATAAATTATAAGAGTTATTTTTTTAGTTTTAAATTCCTTTTTATATTCAAAATTAGCATAATTAATAAAAAATAAACTGTTTTTACTAAAGTGTAAGTGTCAAATTTGAGAGATTAGGGCACTTTCCTAAACCAGAACTTAAGTCTGATGCACCTTTTGCACCAATTTTATTTTCACTTTTTAAATATTGAAAAAAATAAATAGTTAATTCATAAGCAAGAAGCAAAAGACAAAGAAAAAATATGAAATAATAAGAAATAATTTAATTGAAAATAAATATTAAAAAAAATGAAAAATAAATAAATAAAATAAATTTCTAATAAATAAATAAATAAATAAATTAAAACAGTTAGTTATGTTGTTTTAAATTTATTTTTATATTTAAAAATATAACAATCAAAAACAAATAAATGTTTTACAAAAGATCAAGTGCCAAATTTGAGAGATTAGTGCTATTACCTAAACCAGAACTTAAGCCTGCTGCACCAATTGCACCAATTTAATTTTTTCTTTTTAAATATTGAAGAGAAAATATATAGTTAATTGGTTAGTAAGAAGGAAAAAAATGAAGAAAAAATATGAGATAATTAATAATAAATTAATTAAATAATAATAAAATAAAAAGTTGAAAATTAAAAAATGTAGAAAATTAACAGGTAAGTAAATAAACAAATAAAAAATAGAATATAAAAAAAGATAAACAAATCAAATAAAAAAAAAGCTAATTAATAAATTAAATGAGCTAGTTAAATTGTTTTAAATTCATTTTTATATTCAAAAATATCACAATCCAAAACAAATAAATTATTTTAACCTTAGAGAAAGTGTCAAATTTGAGAGATTAGTGCAATTTCCTAAATATGAACCTAAGCCTGAAGCACCTTCATCACCAATATAATTCAACCTTTTTAAACGTTAAAGAAAAAATATATTCTTTATTAGTTAATTTAAAGGAAAAAATGAAAAAAAATACATTCTTTATTAGTTAATTTGAAGGAAAAAATGAAGAAAAAATATGAAATAAGAAATGGATTAATATATAAATAATAAAAACAAAAATAAGAAATTAAAAAATCAGCAAATTAACAAAAAAATAATGAAATTTATAAAAGAAATACAAAAATAGAATAAAAAAAAGAAATAAATCAATTCAAAAGCAAATAAATTAATAAATTAAAAGAGTAAGTTAGTTATATAGTTTTAAATTCATTTTTATATTCAAAAATATCACAATACAAAACAAATAAATTGTTTTTACCTTAGATCAAGTTCCAAATTTGAGAGATTAGTGCATTTCACTAAACCAGAACCTAAACCTGACCCACCAATTTTACCAATTTAATTCAACCTTTTAAATATCGAAGAAAATATTTAAGCTAATTAGCAATGTAAAAGCAAGAAATGGAGAAAAAATATGAAATGATAAGAAATTAATTTATAAGTAATAAAGGCAAAAAATTTGAAAATAAAAAAATGAGTTAAATTAATAAATAAACATAGAAATAAATAAAAAAAACACAAGCAGGAAAGAAAAAATAAGTAAAATAAATAAAATAAAAGGCTAAGCTATGTTGTTTTAAATTCATCGTTATATTCAAAAATATCACCAATCAAAAATAAATAAACTGTTTTTACCATAGATGAAGTGTCAAATTTGAGAGATTAGTGCACTTTCCTAAACCAAAACCTAAGGCTAATGCACCTTCGTCACTAATTTTATTACACCTATTTAAATATTGAAGAAAAAACAAAGAGTTAATGAGTTATAAGATAAAAATATGAAATATAAAAATTAATTAATTGATTATAAAAGTAAGTTGAAAAAGAAAAAATGTATTAAATTAACATACTAAGAAATAAAAAAATAAATAAAAAACACAAGCAGGAAAAAAATAAATAAATCAAACTAAAAGCTAATAAATAAATAAATTAATTAATTAAAAGAGTTAGTTATATTGTTTTAAATTTATTTTTTATTCAAAAATATCACAATCCAAAACAAATAAACTTTTTTTACGAAAGATTAAGTGTCAAGTTTGAGAGATTAGTGCAATTTCCTAGACTCTAACTTAAACCTTATGTACCAATTAGACCAATTTAATTTTCGCTTTTTAAATATTTAAGAAATAATATACAGGTAATTAGATATTTAGATGAAAAAAATGAAGAAATAATATGTAATAAAAAGAAATTAATTAAATAATAATAAGCCAAATGTTGAAGTTGAAAAAATGAGTTTAATAAAAAACAAATAAATAGATAAAAAAACAAATCCAATAAAAAGCTAATAATTTTTTTTGTTTTAAATTCATTCATCATTATATTCAAAAATATAACAATCCAAAACAAATAAGCTTTTTTACGAAAGATTAAGTGTCAAATTTGAGAGATTAGTGCACCTTCCTAAACCAGTACCTAAGTCTGATCCACCTTAATCACCAATTTAATTTTCTCTTTTTAAATTTTGAAGAACAAATTTATAGTTAATTAGTTGGTAAGAAGGAAAAAATGAAGAAAAAATATGAAATTAATTAATTAATTAATAGTAAAAGTTGAAAATGAAAAAATGATTTAAATTAATAAACAAACAAAGAAATAAAAAAAATAAAAGAAGAATCAAATAAAAAGCTAATAAATAAATAAATAAAAAGAGTTAGTTATTATTAATATATTTTTTTATTCAAAAATACCAAAATCAAAAACTAATAAACTATTTTTACATAAGATCAAGTCTCAAACTTGAAAGATTTATACACTTTCCCAAACCAGTACCTAAGTCTGATACACCAACTGCACTAATTTTTTTAATCCTTTTTAAATATTGAAGAAAAAATAAAAAGTTAGTTAGTTAGTTGTAAGGAAAAAATGAACAAAATGTATAAAATATAAAAAAATAAATAATTAACAATTAAAATGAAAATTGAATAAAAATTAAGTTAAAATAATTAAAATATATTTTTATATAAAATTAAATGAAAATAGATGATAATTTTAATTATAAAAATAATAATGCAAATCAGATGAAAACAAATAAATAAATAAATTAAAAAAACATTAATAATAAAAATAATAATAATATTAATATGTCGAATATACATTTTTTTCAGATCAATGTGGAGAACTTAAAAAGATTAAAGTGAGGAGTTTAAAAGCTTATTTATTAAAAAAAAATAATTTAAATAATACGAATAAAAAAATAAATATTTACTTATTCTAGATTATTAAAATATGTTTTCTATTATATCATTTAATTTATTTTTATTTATTCAAAAATATTGAATGAAATTCAATTTTTGGGAGTTTAATTAATAATAAATTAATTAACTTTTATATCCAATTAGTTGGATTAAAAGAATAAAATTAACTTAAATAATTATCAAATACAAATTTTAAACTTGCTATGAGGAAGAGAATTCACAAAAAGCTAGTGTAATATTATTTGATGATTAAATCTTAACATTTCTGTTAAAAACTTCTACTTATAAAAATAATAAGAACCAAAGAAGGGTATTCAGTCATTTGTTGATAAAATTATATAAATAAATTAGTTAATTTGCTATAACTTTGATAAAATAATTTTAATTTACCAGATTTTTCTATTTTATTAGAGTAATAAGTCGAATAAGTTATTTTCGCAAGAACATGCTATTTAGGTATATATTGCATGCACCCTTTTAACGCTCTTGACTTATCTTTTTAAAATAGATTATACATTTTTATTATGGTAAATATTTTTAAAGATTAGTAAACTATGTAAATAAATTTGGATATTTATTTACTAACATAGAAATTTTAATAATCAATAAATTTGAAGAATTTATTTATTCTAATAAAGAAGCGAAGAAGTTTATGATGAGGTGAATTTGCGCCAGATATTAGTTTGTTATAACAAATTGTGGAATATATTAAATAAAAAATATAGTTAGTATTATAATATCTTTAATAAATTGTAATGCTCAATTTCCGTGCAAATTCATACTTTCATTTTATTTATTTTTGAAATTATAATAAACTAATTTATTAATTAATTATAATTCTATTATATAATATATATAAAAATCATTTTTTTAATAAATAAATAAATTAATAAAAAATCTATTTCATAATAAGTGGCATTCAAACCATGAAATTATTGGATTGCATCTTGCTATAATTAGAGATATTACAAATATTAAATTACAGAGCTAAAACAGAAAAATCTACTTATAAACATTATTTTTATAATATTTAAGTACATTAACAACTAAAATTATTTAAAATAGGACTAAATAAATAACTGGCCATCTCTAATTCCTACTATATATTTTTTTATTTTATTATTTTAAATACAAATATTAAGTTTAAATAGTGAATGTTAAATTAATTTTTCTGTGATATCTCTTCATTAAACCAAATATATAAATTAATATTTGATAATTAATTAATTATTATATTTATTTGTTCTTTTTATCCATCTATAATTAATTAATTAAATTTCATAAATTGCTATTCAATATTTTTGAAAAAAAATAAATGATGTAATAGATTAAAGAATATTATAATTTAGAAGAAGTAATTATTAATTTTTTTATTAATATCCTTTAAATTTATATAAATTAATAAAAAAAGTTTAATAGTTCTTCACTTTTATCTCATTAGGTTCTCCATATTGATTTTCGGTATATTTAATTAAAAAATATTAATTTTATTATTCTTAATATTTTTTGTATATTCAATTTTCTATTTATTTAAATAAATAATTTCTATTATTGAAATTATCATAATTTTTTATTGATTTTTATTAAAACAAAAATTTTTTACTATTTTAACTTAATTTTCATATCAATTTTTTTTAATTATTTATTAATCATTTTTTATTATTTGATATTTTTTCTTCATTTTTTGCTATTAAAACTTACACTTAATAAAAGCAGTTTATTTGTTTTGCGTTGTAATATTTTTAATTATAAAAGTTAATATAAAACATAAAAGCTCTATGAATTTATTTGATTTATTTTCTTTTCTTTTTTTTTTATTATGATTTCTTATTTTTTGATTCTTTGTTAATTTTATTTATAATTAATTAATTAATCTTTTTATATCATATTTTTTCTTCATTTTTCCCTCCTAATTAACTAGAGTGAAATGCCTATTTAATTTATAAAAGGCGATATGTAATAAATCTTAATAACATAATAAATAAAGCTAAATTAGCTTAAAATAGCTTTATTTTTGAGTTTTTAGAAAGCTTTAAATTCAGAAAATGTAAAATTTGAAATTATATATACCATATATTCTTAAAACATATCATTTTTTTTTTTGAAATAAAAATACATTTTGAAAACCTTTTTAATTATAAAAACTATTTAAAAATAAAAAAGCTCTTTTTTCTTTTTCTTTTAATTGTGATTGCTTTTTTTTTTTCTTTTATTGTTAATTAAGCTCATCATTTTATTTTCAAATTTTACTTTTATTATTAATAAATCTATCTAATTATTTCATATTTTTTCTTCATTTTTTCTTTCTAATTTACTATTTAATGATATATTTTTTCTTCAATATTTAAAAAGTGACAATTAAATTGGTGCAATGGGTGCATCAGGCTTAGGTTCTGCTTTAGCAAATTGCATTAATCTCTCAAATTTGAAACTTGACCTTACGTAAAAACAGTTTATTTGTTTTGGATTGTGATATTTTTAATTATAAAAACTAATTAAAAACAATAAAGCTCTTTTTTCTTTTTATTTTTCATGTGCTTGCTTTTTTTTTGTTCTTTCTTTGTTAATTAAGCTCACTATTTTATTTTCAACTTTTGCTTTTATTATTAATTAGTTCATCTTATTATTTCATATTTTTTCTTCATTTTTTCTTTCTAATTTACTATTTAATGATATATTTTTTCTTCAATATTTAAAAAGTGACAATTAAATTGGTGCAAAGGGTGCATCAGGCTTAGGTTCTGCTTTAGCAAATTGCACTAATCTATCAAATTTGACACTTTACCTTAAGTAAAAACAGTTTATTTGTTTTGGATTGTGATATTTTTAATTATAAAAACTAATTAAAACATTAAATCTCTTTTTTGTTTTTCTTTTTCTTTTTATTGTACTTGCTTTTTTTTTATTCTTTCTTTGTTAATTAAGCTGACTATTTTATTTTCAACTTTTGTTTTTATTATTAATTAGTTCATCTTATTATTTTATATTATTTCTTCATTTTTTCCTTCTAATTAACTATTTAATGATATATTTTTTCTTCAATATTTAAAAAGTGGCAATTAAATTGGTGATGAAGGTGCATCAGGCTTAGGTTCTGCTTTAGCAAATTGCATTAATCTCTCCAATTTGAAACTTTTTATTCGGTAAAAACAGTTTATTTGTTTGGGATTGTGATATTTTTAATTATAAAAACTAATTAAAAACAATAAAGCTCTTTTTTTCTTTTTTTATATTGTGCTTACTTTTTTTTTGTTCTTTCTTTGTTTTAAAGCTCATGATTTTATTTTCAAATTTTACTTTTATTATTAATTAGTTCATCTTATTATTTCATATTATTTCTTCATTTTTTCCTTCTAATTAACTATTTATTGATATATTTTTTCTTCAATATTTAAAAAGTTCTAATTAAATTGGTGATGAAGGTGCATCAGGGTTAGGTTCTGCTTTAGCAAATTGCATTAATCTCTCAAATTTGACACTTTTAATTGGGTAAAAATAGTTTATTTGTTTTGGATTGTGATATTTTTAATTATAAAAACTAATTAAAAACAATAAAGCTCTTTTTTGTTTTTGTTTTTCTTTTTATTGTGCTTGCTTTTTTTTGTTCTTTCTTTGTTAATTAAGCTCATGATTTTATTTTCAAATTTTTCTTTTATTATTAATTAATCTATCTTATTATTTCATATTTTTTCTTCATTTTTTCCTTCTAATTAACTATTTAATGATATATTTTTTCTTCAATATTTAAAAAGTGACAATTAAATTGGTGCAATGGGTGCATCAGGCTTAGGTTCTGCTTTAGCAAATTGCATTAATCTCTCAAATTTGGCACTTCACCTTAAGTAAAAACAGTTTAATTGTTTTGGATTTTTACATTTTTAATCATAAAAACTAATTAAAAACAATAAAGCACTTTTTTCTTTTTCTTTTTATTGTGATTGCTTTTTTTTTATTCTTTTTTGTTAATTAAACTCATCATTATATTTTCAACTTTTGCTTTTATTATTAATTAGTTCATCTTATTATTTCATATTATTTCTTCATTTTTTCCTTCTAATTAACTATTTAATGATATATTTTTTCTTCAATATTTAAAAAGTGGCAATTAAATTGGTGATACATACATACATACATACATACTCGCACATGGTGACATGCACTCGGGATAGGGGCCCTATATATAATTACTTATACATTATTATTATACGTATACCAATTTATTTATATATAATTGTGGGTAATATACTAGAAGGGAAGGGTCACCTACACCCTAATGGCATTTCTACTAATCTTCCATGATTTGACTACGCATTATGCTCGCTTCCCATTTGTATTCCAGATCTTCTGTTCAGAATGGGGCCTCCTCTTTACCTCCTATCAGATTTGGCCCTTCCCTCCTACCAAGGAGACCGCTGGTAACATTCACATTTTTACATGGAATTTCTCGAAATAAAGGGGGCGGTATAGGATTCGAACCCCCGATATCACTGCTAAGACCCTCCGACTCGCCCACTCGAGCCGCTTAGCCCTTCTTAAATTGGTGATGAAGGTGCATCAGGCTTAGGTTCTGCTTTAGCAAATTGCATTAATCTCTCAAATTTGACACTTAACCTTAAGTAAAAACAGTTTATTTGTCTTTGATTGTGATATTTTTAATTATAAAAACTAATTTAAAACAATAAAGCTCTTTTTTGTTTTTCTTTTTCTTTTTATTGTGCTTGCTTTTTTTTGTTCTTTCTTTTTTAATTAAGCTCATGATTTTATTTTCAAATTTTTTTTTTATTATTAATTAATCTATCTTATTATTTCATATTTTTTCTTCATTTTTTCTTTCTAATTTACTATTTAATGATATATTTTTTCTTCAATATTTAAAAAGTGACAATTAAATTGGTGCAATGGGTGCATCAGGCTTAGGTTCTGCTTTAGCAAATTGCATTAATCTCTCAAATTTGACACTTTACCTTATGTAAAAACAGTTTATTTGTTTTGGATTGTGATATTTTTAATTATAAAAACTAATTAAAAACAATAAAGCTCTTTTTTCTTTTTATTTTTCATGTGCTTGCTTTTTTTTTGTTCTTTTTTTGTTAATTAAGCTCATTATTTTATTTTCAACTTTTGCTTTTATTATTAATTATTCATCTTATTATTTCATATTATTTCTTCATTTTTTCCTTCTAATTAACTATTTAATGATATATTTTTTCTTCAATATTTAAAAAGTTACAATTAAATTGGTGACGAAGGTGCATCAAGCTTAATTTCTGCTTTAGTAAATTGCATTAATCTCTCAAATTTGGTACTTTTCCTTAAGTAAAAAACAGTTTATTTGTTTTGGATTATGATATTTTAAACTATAAAAACTAATTAAAACAAAAAAGCTCTTTGAATTTATTTGATAGCTTTTATTCGATTTATTTTTTTATCTTTTTTATTGCACTAATATTATTTTATTTATTAATTTAAAGAATAATTTTTAATTTAAAAGTTTATTTTATTTTGATATTTATTTAAAATTTACACAAATTTATTATAAAATTTTTAGCTCAATTAATAAATCATAAGAATTCAAAGTAATAAGCAAGTGTCTTAAATTAAAAAGATTAGTTGCCTTTAAGATAAACAAATGGTGAAAAAAGGATGAATAAATATAAAATGTTTGAACAATATTATATATATATTTTATTATATAATATTTTGAAAAAGTGTTTTTAACCTAAAATAAAAATAGATTTAATTATTGATTTTATATTTATAAATATCATTCATTTTTTTGTAAGTAAATAATTATTTATTATAAATAAAAAAATTTTAAAATTAAATTTACTTAAATAAATTAAATCCTCTTAAGCAAACCCTCAGAATTCTCCAAAAACCATCAAATAATTTGTAACTTTTAGTTTTATATTATACCTTATTAAAGGAGGGTACAAAAAAATTTTTTTTAATTTTAAAAATTTAAGCATAGTAAGGATTCTAAAAAGTGGATTATAATTTATTTTGGAATTAATTAAAGAGGATCAACATAGATTATTTTATGTTAACTTATTTTTATATTTAAAAATTGATTTAAGTGTATTTAAATAAAACATTTTTTTTAAATCAACATTTAACTTTCAATAATAAGTATTTATTTGCGTCTAGGTTTTACCAACATATGTTGTATATGTATTTTTTGAGCTAATTGATAAAGACAAATACTATGTATTATCTATTCTGATCAAATTATTATTCTATTTTCTTAGATATTTTAATTAAAAAGTACGCGAAAATCTTTTGTAGAAAGACTTTTAAGAAGTAGGTAAAAATGAGCTTGAAAAATAGTAAAAAGCTACAAATAAAGAAATAAAATTAAGAAGAAGACATTGTTAGGGATTTCTTGAAATAATACAACTATGAATATCTAAAAATGTTAGAATAAGGAGATTCTTCTCTAGTAGTAGTGGCATTTTCATAAAAACTATAATATTAAGTAGCAGTAAAGATTATAAAAACTCGTGGTGCAATAAATCAAGTCAACCTTTTATAAGTTGATAAAGAAATCTAGATTCTTTAAAATTTACAAAGTGAAATGTATGTATTAAAGATTTTTGAAAAAATAGAGGAATATAATTTAGGATTGCTTGCTATCGTTATGGAGCTTTGTGACTGTAATTAATTAATTAGTTTAAAATTGATAATTGATTATTAATTAATGTCAAAATAGGTAATTTGTCCAATATTTTTCAGTTGAATACATTTAGTATTAAATAAATATATGCGATGGCATATTAATTGTTGGAAGGGTTGAGAATTTATTAGGAATATGGTTTGATTTATAGTTAAATTCAGCCTAAAAACATTCTTTACAGCAAATCTTAGAATAAGTTTTTAATAGGTTTAATTAATTAGTAATAAATATCAAGAATGTCTACTTATATTAATTATTTATAAAAAAAGTTCACTATGGTTTTTTTAAGCCACATAAGTACTCCTTTTCTTAAAAAAAATCTGATGTAAATTTTATTTTTGTTTATTTAGATTTATTTTATATTAACTAAATAATAATATAAAAGCTTCCTTCTATTTCCGACATATCATCAGAAATGACAAATGAATAAAGACTTAAAAGTTTATATGTAATAATTTATATTGACTTACTTTTTCAGAGTAAAAAAATCTTTAATATATCTTAAAATAAATCAATTTATTATAGTCAGATGTATTTTCTATTGGCTTGATTTTAACTGAAGCTTTTATCTCTAGATAATTGTCACCAGAAGAGCTGAAGAATTTGAAATCATAAATCATATTTAATGTGTTCCCTTTTTTAAATAACTATGAAAACATTCGATTTTTTGACAAGATACTTTTAAAAATGATTGACCAAAATCAAGATTTAAGACTGCTACCCAAAGATTTACTCTATAACTTAAAGGCATTTGAAATTTAAGATTAATATTTAGCTCTATTTAAACTAAAAAAATATCTTAAAAAACTTCTTGTTTTAAATGTTGAAGACATTATTAAAGCAATCCATTACGATGTGTTAGAAATAAATCTAAAGTAAATAATTTTAATTTTATTATTTTAAGTTAAATAGTATAAAAGTTATTGGATTTCAGTAAAGATAAATAATAGATTCTTTTTTATCTAAATTTTAATGTTTTTCTAGAAATAAAAAATGCATTTTTTAAATAATCACACGAAAACCAAAGAGTTTAAAAAATCTTTTTCTTAAAAAGAATGAAATAAAAAAACTATTTTAACAATATACAAAACACAAATAATTGATTGGTTTAGTTAGCATAAAAATGAATAGCAAATTTGGTATTTTTTAATAGTTTTATTTAAAGTTTGCAAACTTTCATAAAATAATTTAAAAAAGGCAAGTAATAGTGCAAGATAAATAGGTTCATACAATTAAGTAATAATAATGATTGATGAGTATATGACTATTAATCTTTTTCAAAGCTTTAATTTATCAATCTTAATAATTTTGGAAAACTTTTTGTTATTATGTTAGATAGACTAAATAAAATATTTAAGACATTTTTTAATTTAATTGAAAAATTCTAAAATTTTAATCTGTTAAATTTAATTAATCAATTTTCAATCATTTTTGAGTCGAATTTTAATAATTATTTATTTATTTTTTATTTATTTATTTATTTTATTTTATTTTAATGCTTTTAATATCAAATATGAGCTTGGAGTTGAAGGTGCAAAGAGTATGGGGATTAATCTGGAAAAATGCCAAAATATAAGTTCTTTAATCCTAAATTTTGAGTAATTTTATTTGATTAATAAATATAAAAAATGAAAAGAAAATAAGCTGAATTGCTTTTATTTTAATTAAAAGATAAATCAATCTAATTCTTTTGATATTTTTTTTTTTAATTTAATTTTTAATCTTTTTAGATATAGCAAAATTGATGCAGAGACTGTTAAAGCTATTGGATAAAGTTTGGAAAAGTGTCAAAGCATTACTCATTTAGATTTAAATTTGAAGTAAATTTAAAATACTTTTTAGCTGATTAATAAATTAATTAATTAATTGGTTCTATTTATTCAGAGTAAATAATTTAGGTGAAGATGGTGCTTAAAATATAGGAATTAGCTTAGAAAAATGTTATAATATTACTTTCTTAAATCTTAATCTAGAGTATTTATTTATTAATAATAATTCAAAAAAATAAACAAGATTAAAAAAATTCTGTTTTTATTTTAATAGAAAAACTAAAATAGGACCTGAAGGAGCAAAGTATATAGGAGAAAGCTTAAAAAAGTTACTAAAATTGTCTTCATTAATATTAAACTTGGAGTAGCTATTTTTACCTTTAAAATTATAATAAAAATTTTATTTTTTAATTTTTTTGTTAAATTTCAGATGAGTTTATTAAAAATTATTTTTAGTTCTAATAATTTAGGTTTAGAAGGAGTTTAAAATATTGGATTAAGCTTAGAAAAGTGTTAAAACCTTACTTCTTTGAGCTTAAAGATAAAGTAATTTTTAAAATATCATATTAATTAGTTTAAAATTAATAAAATAAAATCAAATGCTATTTAACAGTGATAATAAATATGCTAATGAAGGTTTAGAATAAATAGGAAAGAATTTATAAAACTGTCTAAAATTAGCTTCTTTAAATTTTTACATAGGGTAATTTATAAATTTAAAAAAAAAATTTGTTTTTGAAAAATAAATATTTAATGAATTAAATTTTTATTTGTTATTTATTACTTTTAATTTATTTGAATATTTATTCATTAAATTTTTTATTTTATTTTAAGTTCAATTTACTATAATCCATAAATAATTCTCATCCTAGCAAAAAATTTGAGAAAGTGTGAAAGAATAATCTAATTAAGACTCAATTTATAGTAATCAATCAATTGATTATTTATTTTTTATATCTATTAATTTGTTTTATTATTTTTTAGAAAGTTAAACATTAAATAAAATTCTGTTGATAAATTTTTAGTTATTTAAATAAATAAATTAATTATTAATTAATTTAATTTTAAAATATTTGAAAAGTTAAATTGGTTTTCATTAATTGGATGTAGGAATAAGGAGAGAGTTTATTAATAATTTAAAGAAGATGAAAAGATTGATTTTAATATCTAAATATCTAGTATGAAGAATAATTATCTATTTTAATAAGGCTATTAATAAGTTTATTTAAATAACTAGATATTTAAAAAATTTTGAAATATTTTTCATTATCTATTTATGCCATTTAAAATAATGATTTGCAATAATAAAATTTAAGATTTGTAATTATTTAAATTAATGTGTTCAGTCTGTACAATAATTATTATCTATCTTTACGTAGTTGATATTTAAATAATATTATTAACATACACAGCTAAATTTTATTTTAAAAATTTTTCAATTATTTAGAATTAAAATTAAAGTCTTGATCCATTTTTAAATTATACATATTTTATTATTTATTTATCTATTTTGCCTATTTTTATTTTTTCTTAATAAAAGTAACAATAAAAATTATCATTTTACTAACAAAAAAATAATTTCAAATATTTTTTTGATTCTGTTAAAAAAAACAAGAATAAATTGTATATATAGGTTATCAAAGGAGTGTTAAGCGATGTAAAGTTGTAAATTCTAATGCTATTTATAGATGTATACCTGGAATAAACGGCAATATATTAGAGAATTATCTTTCCAATTATTCAAAACCAAGAAATAACGGTAATTTATTTCTTTGATTTCAATTTAACATAATAAATCTCTATTAAAATAGTTTGATGGGTCTTGCATTACCATGCATAATTTTCCATTGCCTATACCCATAGACTGACTCCATTTAAAGTTTAAATCAGATAATCTTCTATAGTCTATATATAAGTGTCAGACCATGGTTTCTCTTTTATCTGTTCTGATGATTTACAAATCTGTCTTCATTTTCATAGAGATTCCTCACCAAATAATAACCTTTTTTTTATTCTCTTTAATCAAAATTTCAGGTCTTGATTCATAAGCAGGTTGCAACCAAATCAACCAAAGATTTATTCTCAAATATCTGAATTGAAACTTCATCTATAAACAAGCAATTTGTGAATTTATCATTTTTATGAAGTCACAATATTTCTATCTCTTTTCGGTGTTAGATGGAGTGGTATCTCTAATATTTAGGTTTAGTTCCTATAAATCCTAAATAATTTTAGCTTTTTTAGTGAATTACTGATCCAAACAAATGGAAATGGTACATAAATGTATGTTGAGAAAAGCTATTCTGTTAATTATTTTTATATATTCTAATAAAGAGATGTTAGATCTCCTATCATTTAAGTTTATTTCAGTTCGTTCATCTGTGTTATTAATTTTAAGAGGAATTTATATTCATTAGATCATATTGATAAAAAAAACAAAAATTAAAGTAGATAATTTAAGGATGGAGATAAATTTAGAAAATTGTTTGAATAAAACTAAAAACAAAAAAAAGATATTACACAAATAAGCATATTATTTTTTGAAAATTAAATAGATGCAGCTAGGATATTTAATACTGAAAAGTAAAATAAATAGTGAATATTTGCAAATATAAAATAATTTCTAATTCTAAAGAATAAAATGAAATCTTATATTTTTTCTAAACTTTTTCTTTCATGAATAAATCATCCTATTTTTATTTTAGGCTAAAAAACTTTTTCAAAATATAAAATAATAAAATATATAATTTTAATATTCAAACATTTAATTTTTATTAATCATTTTTTAGCCGCTTGTTTATCAGTATAATGTTTTTTTAAAGGCAACTAATCTTTTTGATTTAAGACACTTGCTTATTACTTTGAATTTTTATGATTAATTCATTTAGCTAAATATTTTATAATATATTTGTGTAAATTTTAAATAAATATCAAATAAAATAAACTTTAATTAAATTAATGGAATAAAAATACAAAAAATAAATCAAATAAAATCTATCAAATAAATTCAAAGAGCTTTATTGTTTTAAATTAGTTTTTATAATTAAAAATATCACAATCCAAAACAAATAAACTGTTTTTACCCAAGATAAAGTGTCAAATTTGAGAGATTAATGCACTTTGCTAAACCAGAACCTAAGCCTGATGCACCTTCGTCACCAATTTTATTCTTACTTTTTAAATATTGAAGAAAACATAAATCATTAAATAGTTAATTAGAAGGAAAAATAAAAAATAAATATGAAATAATAAGATTAATTAATTAATAATAAAAGTAAAATTTGAAAATAAATTGATGAATGTATTAAATTAACAAAAAAAGAACAAATAAAAGCAAGCACAATAAAAAGAAAAATAAAAAAGAGCTTTATTGTTTTAAATTAGCTTTTATAATTATAAATATCACAATCCAAAACAAATAAACTGTTTTTACTGAAGGTCAAGTGTCAAATTTGAGAGATTAATGCACTTTGCTAAACCAGAACCTAAGCCTTATGCACCTTTGTTACCAATTTCATTATCACTTTTTAAATATTGAAGAAAGAATATATCATTAAATAGTTAATTAGAAGTAAAAATTAAAAAATAAATATGAAATAATAAGATTAATTAATTAATTAATAATAAAAGTAAAATTTGAAAATAAATTGATGAATGAGTTAAATTAACAAAAAAAGAACAAATAAAAGCAAGCAAAATAAAAAGAAAAATAAAAAAGAGCTTTATTGTTTTAAATTAGTTTTTATAATTAAAAATATCACAATCCAAAACAAATAAACTGTTTTTACTAAAGGTTAAGTGTCAAATTTGAGAGATTAATGCACTTTGCTAAACCAGAACCTAAGCCTGATGCACCTTTGTCACCAATTTAATTATCACTTTTTAAATATTGAAGAAAGAATATATCATTAAATAGTTAATTAGAAGGAAAAATAAAAAATAAATATGAAATAATAAGATTAATTAATTAATAATAAAAGTAAAATTTGAAAATAAATTGATGATTGAGTTAAATTAACAAAGAAAGAACAAATAAAAGCAAGCACAATAAAAAGAAAAATAAAAAAGAGCTTTATTGTTTTAAATTAGTTTTTATAATTAAAAATATCACAATCCAAAACAAATAAACTGTTTTTACTTAAGGTTAAGTGTCAAATTTGAGAGATTAATGCACTTTGCTAAAGCAGAACCTAAGCCTGATGCACCTTTGTTACCAATTTAAGTTTCACTTTTTAAATATTGAAGAAAGAATATATCATTAAATAGTTAATTAGAAGTAAAAATTAAAAAATAAATATGAAATAATAAGATTAATTAATTAATTAATAATAAAAGTAAAATTTGAAAATAAATTGATGAATGAGTTAAATTAACAAAAAAAGAACAAATAAAAGCAAGCAAAATAAAAAGAAAAATAAAAAAGAGCTTTATTGTTTTAAATTAGTTTTTATAATTATAAATATCACAATCCAAAACAAATAAACTGTTTTTACTCAAGGTTAAGTGTCAAATTTGAGAGATTTATGCACTTTGCTAAACCAGAACCTAAGCCTGATGTACCTTCGTCACCAATTTAATTACCCCTTTTTAAATATTGAAGAAAAAATATATTATTAAATATAGAGTAAGTTGCCATTCAAATTTACAAAAAGTAATTTTAAATATAGCTATATGCTATTCAAAAATTTAGTGAATTTAGATCA